AAAATAAATAAGTAAAGTTAAATAGTCACGTTGCAATTCCTTTTCCTCCATTTCTCCCTCTTTTGGGGATTTTGGGCAAGCATACAAACTCATCCAAGTGTGTTTCACAAGCCACCAGGTCTGGGACTCAAACCATGCAGTCAGCCATGTGGGGTCCAGCTGCCTTAACCATCATGCCATGGGCGGTCCCCCTAGTGTCCCATTTTGAAGACTGCCACACTAAATTAATACTTATTAGTATGATGACTATGGATGTTATTTCTCACTATCTTCAGATTTTATAACACTGATCCTAGAATTCAGGAAGTATGTAACATACAATTTCCACAGGAGGCCCAAAGAAGTGACAGCAGTCTCACCTACGGAGGCCAGGTTCTTGTAGTTCTCCAGCATCACTTCTCTGTATAGATCTCTCTGAGTTGTGTCCAGTAAGATCCACTCCTCCTGGGTGAAGTCCACAGCCACATCCTCAAAGGTCACTGAGCCCTAAACCACCACGCATATGCTGGTTGGTGCCAGGTAAAATGTTTGCCAATGCTCACTAGAGAAAGAAGGGGCACCCAAAGCCTATCCAAGGTTGAGGGCTTCCTTCATCTACCACAGGGTTCAGAAGGCCTACGAACTCTTCTTTGGATATATACTCACTATTTTTTTCTGGAGAGGATTTTTTGCTATAGGGCGCGTGCGCTTGCCAGGAAGACAGAGAGACAGAAAGCTAGAAATCACCCCCCAGGGGGGATGGCCACGCCACAATCCATTCTCCTCCATTCTCCTCTCAGGATCTTGGGCACGAACACACGCGCACGCAGCGTGAGTTTAAGCCACAGGATCTGGGACTTGAACCATGGTCGACTACATGGGAGTCCAACGACATAGCCATTACGCCAACTGCTAGTCCCTACGCTCACTATTGATCTCTTCTCATCACTGGGCTTTAATGGCACCTCTTTCATGTGATTTGATCTCATTGTAACGCTTCTCATCTTCTATTTCCTTCAGCAGCACACTCCTGAGCTCAGTATCAACACTTACTAAGCAGTGACACATGTATAGAGGTCTTTAAAAAAAGGAAACTTTCAACTTCCTTACCATGTGTCAGAGCACTCAAAAAAATAAGAAAACTGTATTCGGCAACATGAAGGTGAAAAATGTAGCTAATTACAAAAATATTGGATGATTCCCAAGGTGATCTCTGATCAGTCTAAACACTTAACTCCCCGGAGAAATTCAAGTAGGGACTCAGTTCTTGAGTGAGAGTTTATTTACTTTAAGAAGCTCTGGCGACAACTCTACCTGGAAGGAAATACATCTACCTGGTCTATCCAAGTGTGCCATCTTCAGAGAAACACACTTTCCGCATACCTGATAATCTATCTCAGGGCCAGTCACCATCCTTTGTGCTTGCATTTTTTCTTCCTGAAGGCAGACTGGGTCCCTAGGAAGGTGACCTCCTGAAAAAGAAAGAAAGGCATGAGAACTCAGAGATGATCATAATTCTCATTCACCTACTCAGAAGTCATTCTATCCCAGTATGGAACTCCCATACAATCCTGCCTATTGAAGAACATGCACACACGCGTGCACGCACGCACCCTACTACTACACAATGCAAGAGCAGCTGGACTTACCCAGGACCAGAAAAGGGGACAGGGAGCTACGTGGCCCCTCAGGACAGTAACTGATTCATTTTATAGGCAAGTAAACGGAAGCCCTAGTAAACGTGACTCTTCACTCATGATAATATTCATGGGGAAGACTATGCAGCACTTCTTCCCAAAGCCCACATACCAGGGCCAGACTTATGGAACAATATATTTTTTTAAAGAATTATTTGTTTAATTTTATTTATTCATTCATTTATTTTGACCAGAGAGAGATGCAGAGAGAGAGAGAGAGAGAGAGAGAGAGAGAAAGTGAGAAAGCAATCCATCAGGTCTGTGACTCAAACCATGGTCGGCCATGTGGGAATGTACAGTGCTACAGTGCCTTAACCACCACGCTACCTACTGGCCCCATGGAGCAATATTCTTGTGTACACTTCAGCACATGTAAAACGATACAAGAGAATGACTTCTCAAGCCCAGATCAAGTGAGTCACTGTGGTGCAGAGGGACCTAAAGGAGAAGTTTCTGGAAAAAAGCATCAACAGGACTTACTGTGGGACAAATCAATGGCTTCCATCCTGTAAGGCTGACAGTGAAATGTGCTGGAACGTTGCTTTAGTTATGAATCTAAAAAGACAGGGTGATCTCAATCCCTCTTTAAAAATAAAAGAATTATTTAACTTTACTCATTTTAATTTGAACCTAGAGGGGCAGGGTGATAGAAAGAGAATGGGAAAGTGAGAAAGCAAGCCGCCAGGTCCAGGACTCAAACTGCAGCCAGCTATGTGGGAGTGCAGCAACCTTTAACCAGCATGCCACCTGCCAGCCCCCTCAATCCCTCCTGATGCAGGAGTACCTGGAAGCCCATTTTGTATTAATCATTAATCAACAGGTATTACTTATCAGTCAGCAAACATCTCACGTTATGTCTCTATACAGATGATACATGTAAAATTCACTAAAATATAGTGTATAAGTTTTAGTCAATTGTCACTTACTGAGGAGCAGGATGTGTCAAAAGTCTCAGTAGCAACCTTGCACATATAAACTCACTTAAATATTACCATGAGTCTTCATAATATACATTACTCATATTTAACATCTAATAAAAACCCTACAGGACAAGCAGGTGGCGTGGAGGTCAGGGTGGCTGGATCCCAGAGTGGATTCTGAGGTTCGAGTCCCAGACCTGGTGGCTTGCAACTCATGCCAGAAACATGTGCATGGGTGCCCCAGATCCTGGGAGGAGAAGGTATTGTGGCGTGGCTATCCCCCTGGGGGCTGATTTCTCACTTTCCCTCAGTGTCTCTGTGTCTCTCTCTCTGGTGAGTGCTTGTGCCCGAAGACAAAAACCTCTCAGAAGAAAAGAAAATCCTTAAGTTCACAGAATATTAATTGATCCAACAAATGGTGAACGAGGATTTCAATGCAGGTTGGTATGTCCCCAAAGCCTGAACTCTTTTTTTTTTTTTGTATTTTAAAAATTTAATTGTATTTATTATTTTTTATATTACATTTAATCACATATATATTTACTATGTGTTAATTTCTTTTTCCAGCATGATTACCATGCATATCAGTCAAGACAAAGACATTACTATCCAGGGATCAGCAGTTAGCGTAATGGCTATGTCACTGAACTCCCATGCAGTCGACTGCGCTTTGAGTCCTGGACCTGGTGGCTTAAACTCACGCTGGGTGCGTGGGTATGCATGCCCAAAACTCCTGAGAGGAGAATGGAGGAGAAGGGATTGCAGCGTGGCCATCCCCCCTGGGGGTTGATTTCTTGCTTTCTGTCTCTCTGTCTCACTGGCGAGCACACACACCCTATAACAGAAAACCTCTCCAAAAAACCAAAAAAGACATTACTATCATCATCAAATAGCTTTTCATCATTTTTTTCAGATTATTATTATTTATTCTGTTTATTTTTCAAACATTCAGTTGTTATATATTATTTGGCTTGTAATGAGAATTTACCCAACATGAAATACTTCTCAGACCAGTCCAGTTAAGAATACTATACATGTTACATCAACAGGTAATAAACCATTTCTGTGTCCCACTAATGTCACACCTATTTGTTCTCTTGCTATCCTTCTCTGTACTCTCCCTCCCACCCCATTCCACACTGTCTTCAGCATCCGTAACTATTTTCACTGCTTTTATCCCCTCCAGTATTTCAATCTCTACCATAAAGTGCAGATAGTAGGTATATATTAAGTGGATACATACAATACCTTTCTTTCATATCCTGGCTCGTTTCACTCAGCAAATGAAAGCATTTGATAGAAGCCTTCACTTGTTTCACTCAGCATGTGAAGGCATTTGATAGGCAAGGCATTTGATAGACTGCCAGGGTCTTGTTTTTTTTAATTTTTATTTTTTAATGGCTGAATAGTATTCTACAGAATATATGTGCTACACTTCTTCCATCCATTCATCTGATTGTCCCAAAGCCTGAACTCTTGAGTTTGCTGGTATTTTCTAACATAACCACAAGTAGGTCTAGAAGTACACTGGTAAATACAAAACCCATTAACCCCATGCACTACTGAGCACTTGATATTTAGCCAGTATGATTAAAACACATATTTTATTAATGTACTTAATCCCAGAGTCAGAGTTAAAATGGATTTATGATGTATCATCTGTACATCCCTCTACTCTAACCAGCGTTGAGACAACAGAAGAAAGTCTCTTCACAAAGGTATTGAGAAAGAGACCAGAGAGAAGACTACCTCAATCCCTGAGATGCTCTATGGGTATTCTCTTTAATACACTAATTATGATTAATAGGGGATATCATCATTGAAATGACTTCAATGATTTCAATGGGGATCAGAAGGACCCAGACATCAAAAATCAAGTATTATTTAAACATTAAAAAAAAAAGTGACAGGGACCAGCAGGTGGCGTGGTGGGTTAAGGAGCTGGACACTCACACATGGTTGACCACGGTTTGAGTCCTGGACCTGGTGGCTTGCTTTCTCATTTTCTCTCTCTCTCTGGTCAAATAAAAATGTATGAAACAACATAAATAAATAAATAAATAAATTTAAAAAGCGACTAAATGAACTAGCAAAGACAGTGGAAATGTATCAGTAGTGAGAAAGTAATGAGAATACCTTGATCTGCATTGGTGATGGCTAACAGATCACGTTTCCCTAGGAATGGAACAGATAAGCAGTTAACAACCCTTCTCTAATATATGTTAGTTACTGTGATCTCCATGATCTGTTATAAGTGCCTGTCTCTGCTGCAGTGTGAAAGGAAACACAGAAATTTGGTTAAAAAATATGCAAATTGTCGAGACCAGCAGTTAGTGTAATGGCTATGTTGCTGAACTCCCATGTAGCTGACTGTGGTTCGAGTCCTGGACCTGGTGGATTAAACTCACGCCGGGCGCGTGTGCATGTGTGCCCCAAATCCCAAGAGGAGAATGGAGAAGAGACTGCGGTGTGGCCATCCTCCCTGGGGGGTGATTTCTCGCTTTCTGTCTCTCTGTCTCTGTCTTTCTGGCGAGCGCACGTGCCCTATGGCAAAAACCTCTCCAAAAAAAAAAAAAAAAACAAAAAACCCAGCAACTTGCCATTAGATTCAAATTTTTTGAAATAAAGTGTGGGAAAAAAAAACATTTAGTCCAAACACTCTGTTAATGATGAATTTAATGAATTATCTTGATAATACTAGTGTAATAATATCTCCATCCTTTTTTCCTGAAGCTCTCTGTACTGAAGCTCTATAGACAGATACATGCCTAAAAACTTCAGATGAGAATAGCTGAGAATTCTTGTCTTTCCTTATTAGATAAACGTGTAGGTTACATAGGTTTATATTTACGAAGAAATATGCACACCCCAGACATCTAAGAATCTGTTTTATCTTTCTACGTGAATGTCATCTGTCAAGCATAAAAAAAGTAAAGACAAAGCCAAGTTGTCAGATGAGACATTTTCCGAGGAAAAAACAACTAGAGACCCTTTTGAATCCACTTTCTCTCAGTGCTCACCAGAACACGCCTGAATCTCCGGATAAATGTGACTCGAATGGTGCAATCTCTTTCCCGTCTGTCAAGCAATTCATAAAAGTTTAATGGGGGCCCTTGAAGAGGAGCGCACAGCGGATGAAAACACCCTAGGACAGGCCCTTCCGGGTCTTCCGCCCCCGACGCCTCACCGACGGCCCCAGCGGCCTCTCGGACTCGGCTGGGGCCGGGCGGCGCCGGAGGAAGCGAGCAGAGCCGGTCTGGCCCCTCTAAAGCAGCCTCTTGGTGGCTCGGGTCAAATCCGTCCTTTAACAACCCGCGTCCACCTCCCGGTTGTCGCCTTTTCGCGGAACTCACCGCAACCCGGATGGGCCCGGCGACCAGGAAGACAAAAAGGAGCGCGGGCGCGCCTATTACGCGTCATCATTCAGGACCAGGTCTAGGTGACGTCACTTCCGCTCCAGCCTCCGGCGGGGCGGAGCTACGGCTTTTAAACCTCTGCGGCGCTGGCCGTCTTGAAGCTGAGAAGTTCTGGTTTCATTTCGCAGGGTAGCACCCCTGATTCGGCTCAGCGCTGGGCTTGGAGGCAGAAACAGATCTAGAGGCCAAGGTCGAGGGTAGAACCGGGTCTCTGGACCGAACTGCAGTGGGCGCACGGGGCCCATGCCCGGGGCGCGATGGGGAGGCGGGACCAGGACCAGAGCTGGGTTGGGACAGAGGAATAGACCCTATCGGCAGGACTCGGGGCGATCTTACCCCGCAGCGTGCTCCTCAAAAGCTTTTCTGTCTGCCTCTGTCCGAGGTCATGCAGCCCGACCTTACAGCGAGTCTCTCATGGTGGTAAATAAAGTGATCTATCCTTCCACACAGTCAATCCTTAGCTCTTTAGCCTTTTTTAAAAAATAAAATTATTCGAGGGGGGCCGGCAGGTGGCAGTGGTGGTTGTGGCTCTGGTCGCCCCTAGGGCCAACACGGTTTGAGTCCTGGACCTGGTGGCTTGCTTTCTCATTTTCTCTCTCTCTCTCTCTGGTCAAATTAATAATGAGGAAGGAAATGGGAATTAAAAAAAAATAAAGTAAATAATAAGTTATTTGAGTCTTGGACTGGTGGCTTGAAAATCATTCTGTGCGTGTGCAGTGCATGCCCAAAATCTCCCCAGGGAAAATAAAAAAGAAGGGATCGCCTCGTGGCCAACCCCTCTAGGGGGAGATTTCTCGCTTTCCCTCTCACTGTATCTGTCCTCTCTCTCCCCAGCAGGAACCTGTGCCCTAAGGCAAATGGCTCTAAAAATAAACAAACAAACAAACAAATAAAATTTGGGCAGCAAACAACTCTGTAAGTGGGTTCCTTTGTGTTTTCAGTGTTATTTACAAGCCATGATTGCGTATGCTCACCAGACAGAGGGAGAGTGAGAAATCACCCTCCCATCAGGTGGGGTGGTATGCAGTCATCTCTTATCTATTCTCCTCTCAGGATTTTTGGCACGCATACCTATGTGCACACATATGTGATTTTCAAGCTGTTGGGTCTGTGGTTTGGACCGCACAGCCCCCTTAACCTCCATGTGCCTGCTGGATCCCGTATGTCCAAAATTGTAAAACTCTATGAACACCTTATTCACCAGTTTTTCCTTTAAGCTTTATGATTGTTTGCTCCAATTGTTGTCTCCTGCCTCAGCTGTGATGTCAAGAACTGGCTGTAATTGTTCACAACCAATGACCTGAGGAGTTTTTGTCTGCTCTGGGAAAGCCCTGAGTTAGACCAAATATTGGCTGGCTCGCCAGTAGTAATTTACCAGGGAACCACCGGACTGGGTAAATAATATTCTGGGAACGAGGTTTGGAGGAACTGGCGCCTTTGTCGTTTTTTCTGATCTTAAAGCAATCTTCTATGTCACACTATTCATTTGTCCCCATCCCGCTTTTCTGGTCATATTTCGATTTTCTCAGCATCAGCAGTACTTGCATTTATCAAATTTGTTTTCCTGTATCTGCTGACATTACTGTATTTGCTCATAAATGAATCAAGTAACTTGAACACTTGTTCATTTTAGGGGCTCAGTAGTAATTGGGTTGTTGGAAAAGTCATGACACATTTTTGCATAAGAAAACAGAAAAGTACATCATGACTTTTCTGACAACCCAACAGTATGTGTTAAGAGGACTAATTTAAAAGTTAAATGATTGGGATCAGCAGATGGCATAATGGTTATGTCTCCGGACTCCTGTGTAGTTGACTGCAGTTTGAGTCCCACACCTGACAGCTTAATATTCATGCTGGGCACGTGTGTGTCAGTACCCAAGATCCAGACAGGAGAGTGGAGAAGGGACTGCAGTGGGGCCATTGTCCCTGGGGGGGGGGTGATTTCTCACTTTCTGTCTCTGTCTCTCTGGCGAGTACACACACCCTACAGCAAACATTTCTTAAAAAAAAAAAAAAAAAAGAAAAAGGTAAATTATATTTTATCTAATGTAAAAACTTTCCATTTTAAATTGGATATCATAAATTTTCTTTTAAACAAAGTCCTAATTGATTGGGACCAGCGGATGGCGTAATGGTTACGTCACTGGACTCTCACCTAGTCAACTGCTGTTCGAGTCCTGGACATGGTGGCTTAAAACTTAAGCTGGGTGCGTGTGTGTGCGTGCTCAAAATCCTGAGAGGAGAATAAGGAGAAGGAATTGTGGTGTGGCCCTTCCTCCTTGGGGAGTGATTTCTTGCTTTCTGTCTCTCTGGGGAGCACATGTGCCCTATAGCAAAAATCTCTCTAAAAAGAAAGATGTCCAACAGCTCATGCAGGCAAACACCTGGACGAGATACATCAGTCCGGGAGGGAGTGGGTCCTCAAGAGGCGGATGCACCTTCCTGCAGCCCGGATCCAGAGGGAAAAATTCTTACTGTCATGTAGATGCAGTTTGGCTTGCCCAAGGGCAAGGACTTGATTTTTGGTCAATTAGCATCCAGAGGCTAGGGCATCTTTATTACATGGGAGGGAGTTAAACATGCCAGCAGGTGGTGTGCTGCTTAAAGGCACTGGGCTATCACATTGTTGATTGCAGTTCAAGTCCTGGACCTGGTGTCTTGCTCTCTCTATCTGGTGAGTCCACGAGCCCTGTGACATGTTTTTTTTTTTTTCAAATTTTTTTGGGGGGAGAAGGTTTTGCTAGAGGGCACGTGCACTTGTCAGAAAGACAGAGAGAGATAGACAGAAAGCGAGAAATCACCCCCTTCCCTCCAGCGGGAATGGCCACACCACAATCCCTTCTCCTCCATTCTCCTCTCAGGATCTTGGGCATGCCAGGTGTGTGTTTAAGCCACCGGTCCGGGACTTGAACCGTGGTCAACTATATGGGAGTCCAGCGACATAGCCATTATGTCAACTGCTGGTCCCTCCCTGTAACATGTTTTTAAAAAGATTAAATAATTTGTTTTTAAGAAGTTTTTGCCTTAGGACGCATGAGCTTGCTGGGGAGAGAGAGACAGAGACAGAGACAGCGAGAGGGAAGGTGGGGAATCACCCCCAAAGGGGATGGCCAGGCTGCAATCCCTTCTCCATTCTCCCTCAGGATTTCGGGCACACACACACATATGCCTCCAGTGTGAGTTCCAAGCCATCGAGTCTGAGACTTGAACTGTGGTCACCCATGTGGGAGTCCAGCGACAAAACCACTACACTATCTGCTGGTCCCTAAATCTTAAAAAAAAAAAAAAAAAAAAAAGCTCTAAAAAAATGTCACATGCAGATAGGAGCATGGGGACACTTTGGGGGCACTGGTTTGCTTCTTGATTATTCTGTGCTCACATGCTAGTAACAGGTTTTTGCTCGACTGAACTCTAGTCAGATTTCTTAACCTCCATACGGGCACCTCCTTGAAAATGCAGTTTTAGCAAGAACTCTGCCAACCTAGGAGAAATGCTAAGGCAGTGTAAGTAAAGCAAAAGAGTTATTTGGGTCAGGGTTGTTGATAATGTCCAGGGGCACACTGCACAAGCCACCCTGAATATTGTGCACCGAGGTCTTACAGATTTCAGGACACTTTGTTTTTTTTTTTTTTTTTTAAGAATTATTTATTTGAATTTGACCGGGACAGAGTGAGAGAGAGAGAGGGAAAGTGAGAAAGGAATCCACCAGGCCCGGGACTTGGACCACAGCTGGCCCTGTGGGAGTCTGGCGTCCTCAACCACCACGCCACCTGCTGGCCCCTCAGGGTACTTTTAAAGGAAAACGTTGGGAATGGGAAAGGGGAGTAGCAAGAGTCTCGTAGAGCAGTGATTGTTTCAAGTCTAAGGGCAGCAGGATGACTTCTGTAACTCTAGGAGATGTGATTATGGAAGGTAAGGGAGGACTGTATCTGCACAATAAGCATATTCATAAAACATAAAAGTCCAATGGGGCCAGCAGGTGGCATGGCAGTTAGGGTGCTGGACTTGCACATGGCCGACCACACTTCAAGTCCCGGACTTGGTGGCTTGCTTTCTTATTTTCCCTCTCTCTGTTTCTCTTTCTGGTAAGTGCATGTGCCCTATAACAAATTAAAAAAAATTTTTTTGGAGAGATTTTTGCCATAGGGTGCCATGTGTAAAAAGACAAAGAGAGAGAGAGAGAGAGAGAGAGAGAGAGAGAGAAACAGAAAGCAAGAAATCACCCTCCCCTGCCCCCAGGGGGATGGCCATGCCATAATCCCTTCTCCTCCATTCTTCTCTTGGGATTTTGGGCATGTATGCACATGCACCAGAACTTGAAGCCAGAATTTGAATTGCTGTTGACCAAGTGCCTTAACCACTGTGCCACTTGCTGGCCCCAAGTAAATAGTTAATTTTTAAAAAGAGGTTTTTTGCCTTAGGGTGCTTGTGTTTGCCAGAGAGAGAGAGAGAGAGAGAGAGAGAGAGAGAGAGAGAGAGAGAGAGAGAGAGAGAGAGAGAGAGAGAGAGAGAGAGAGAGAGATATCACCCTCTGGGGGGATGGCCATGCCACAATCCCTTCTCCATTCTCCTCCCAGGATCTTGGGCATGCAAACACCTGCCAGGAATGGTTTTCAAGACACCAGGACCAGATCTGGGTCCAAACAGTGGTTGGCCATGTGGGCCATGTGGAGTCTAGCATTGTAACTGCTATGCCATCTGCTAGTCCCAATAAACAATTTTTAAAAATATTATTTAACTTTATTTATTATTATTATTTTCCAGTTTGATCAGAGAGAGACAGAGAAAGAGAGAGAGGGAAAGTGAGAAAGGAAGCCACCAGGTCCAGGACTTGAACCGTGGTTGGCCATGTGGGAGTCTAGCACCTTTACCACCATGCCACCTGCCAGCCCCCCCCCCTCAATAAACAATTCTTAAAAAGTAAAATAACCGGATATGGACCGGCTCAGTGGTGCATCAGTAGAGCCTTGCTCAAGTCATGCCGGACCTATATGGAAAATTACGTTTGGTTCCACAGTCCCCCTATTCATGCCGGGTGTGTGAGCACCCATGATCCTGGCTGACAGGGAAGACTGGTGGCAGGGGCGGGGGACTGTGGTGTGAGACTGTTGAGTCTTCTCTCTGTCTCTCACTCTCATTAAGTACATTTATTTAAAAAATAATTGGATTCTGGCCAGCAGGGGGAGTACTGTTTATGGAGCCGGACTCTCATTTGGCTGGCTGTGATTTGAGTCCTGGATCCGGAGACTTAAAACACATCGGGTGTGTGTGCGTGTGTGTCCAAAATCCAGAGAGGAGAATGGAGGAGAGACTGCAGCATGGCCATCTCCCTGGGGGGGGGGGAGGGATGGATTTCTCACTTTCTCTTTCTGTTTCTGTCTCTGGAGAGTACATGCATCCTACAGCAAAAATCTATCTCTAGGGGCTGGCAGGTGGTGTGGTGGTTAAGGGAGCTGGACTCCCACATGGCCAACAGTCGTTCAAGTCCCAGGTCTGGCAGTTTGCTTTCTCGCTTTCTCTCTCTCTCTCTGTCCTTCACTTGTCAAATTAAAATAAGTAAAGTTAAATAAAATAATTGTTGGGACCAGCAGTTGGTGTAATGGCTATGCCGCTGGACTCCCATGTAGTTGACCGCGGTTCGAGTCCCAGGCCCAGTGGCTTAAACTCATGCTGGGCGCGTGTGCGTGTGTGCCCAAGATCCTGAGAGAATGGAGGAGAAGGGTATGGCCATCCCCCTTGGGGGGTGATTTCATGCTTTCTGTCTCTCTGTCTCTGTCTTTCTGGGGAGTGCATGTGCCCTATAGCAAAAACCCTCCAAAAAAAAAAAAATTCTTTTAAGAAAAATGTCTTTAAAAAAAAGATCATCTTCCCTCTACACGAATAATCAGTGAAATAATGAAAGGAATAAACTAAATGCCTAAAGAGGATTGACTAATGGAAAGCAAGAGTTTATAGCATAGATCAATAGCCTTAGTTTTAAGCACGCCGCCCTGTGAACAGGGTTATAGCAAAGGAGGCTAGGTCAACGTGCCACTGATGAACATCCTATTCCTTAGCCCACGTGGACCGATCGAGGCCCTAACCTAGATTCCACGCCTAGGCTGTCATTCAAGCCCCGCCCCTAGCTTTGTCCCGCCCCCTGAAGCCCCGCCCCTCGATTTCGTCACCCTTTTAGACCCGCCCCTCGGAGTACTTAAAAGCCCCGCCCCACGCCGCAGGCCGAGAGTAGCCGGCCCCGCTCCAGGCCCACCCACGGTTCTGGTCTAGTCTGCCCCAACGTCTGTAAATCGCCACTCCTGCTCAGCTCCTGGCTGAATTGGGCCTTTGCCCCCACCGACTGACGTCACCCCGGCCCCACCAAGGCCCCGCCCCTTGCGCGGGACGCCACTCGACACCGGAAGCAGGAGCGCGGGTCTGCCGCCATGTCACCTTGCGCCTCCAGCCTCCTCTGAGGTAAATTTCTGCCTCAGTCCGCGTCCTAGCGGCCCGCAGAAGGCGGAGGGCTCCGGCTGGAGGCCGGGGGTCACGGCCAGCCTCTGGGGTCGCTCTCCCGGCTGCTGCCCGGTCCCCGCGCCCGCGGTCGTCCGGGGCCCCTTCGGGGAGCCCCAGCCACCCCGCCTGTACCCGGGTCGTCACCGGGATGGCTCGGATGCAGGCTGGAGTGGCAGAACCACTGTCCCGGGTCATCGGTCTCCAAAAGCAGCCTTTGCTCTCTTTGCAGAAAGGAAAAGCATCTCAGCCATTCGGGTCACGGGGACGAGGGGCTCCACGTCCTGCTCTCGGCGCGGATCTGTGGATTTGGGCGACTTGGGTGAGCACCGGGTGACATGAGCCTCCGTTCGGTCCCCACCGCTCGCTCGTGTCCTTAGGCCTGAGACTGTGAATTTTACTTTCCAAAGGGTTTTAAAAAAAAAAAAAAAAAGAAATGATTTTATTTAGCTGTATTTGCTTTTTAATTTGACCAGAGAGAGGAAGAGAGAGAGAGGAAGGGAAAGTAAGAAAGCCCCCAGGTCCGGAACCGGGGTGAGCCTGTGGAGTCCAGCGCCCTTAACCACCACGCCACCTGCCGGCCGCTGTGAATTTTACTTTCCGTGGCTCCAGTTTGATACATTATATCCAGGTCCCTGAAAATGCAGGGACTGTTAAATACTTTGTAACCTGTCTCCAGGATGAGTACATTTTAATCAATAAAGTGACACAGAATCATTTAGCTGTCGGTTTGGTACATTTTTACACAGAACTTATTCGTTACAGTTTATTCGTTACATTGTCCATTTCTTTTTATTTACTGCACTTGCCAGCACTTCCCATTCCGTGTGGAACAGCATATACTCCGCATCCTTCCTTGCCTTGTTTCTGAACTCAGGAGCTAGGAGGGCACATCAAAAAGTGTGTGGAAGAAAATGGGATTAAAACATGAGTTTTGGTGTAAAAAAACTGGAATCTATGCATTTTTTTCATACTCTGCATTTTCCACATCTCTTTGAAGACCCTTCATATCCTACCATTTCACCATTAAATTGGATGTTTGCTGTAGGTGTTTGTAGGTATGCATTTTTCCCTAATAAAATCTTTTCCCTCTTGTCCTAGTGGACTAAATTATTAACATCAATGGATATTGAAATAGATTAGTGATGGGTTTACGTCTAAGTGGATGAATCATGTAATTTTCCTTGGGTTGGCCACACCGTGATCCCTTTTCCTCTATTCCCTTCTGTTCCATTCTCGGAATTTTGGGCATGCACACACATGTGCCCAGTGTGATTCTCAAGCTGCCGGGTCTGGGACTCCAATTATGGAGTTAGCTGTGTGGGATCCAGTGCCTTAACCATCACACCATCTGCTGGCCGGACTGTTTACAGTTTTTAATTTTGCTAATTTTAAACTATTTTTTTTTTTAAAGCGAAAGACAAGAGGACTGAACAAAATGGACACACAAATAGGTATTTTTGGTAGGGTCCGGTTATGTCATGATCTCCCCAGCCTTCTGGTTAGGATTACAGAAGTGTGCTACTATGTCTGGTCTGTTCAGGTTAGTGCAGGACCTGACCCTAGGGCTCCTGAGTGGCCCCAGCTTTGCACAGCGGCACCCTACTCCTTGTGCCACTGGGTCTGGGCCACCTCTTTTTCTTTCGAAACATTGTGCTGCTTCTTTCCCAATCTCGTACCTCAACAGTCCATTCGTAGTGATTTTATTTTCTACTTCTGGGAGTTGATGATACTTGTAAATAGGAAAATATATACTGAACTATCTGTGGGTTTCCAGTGTTATCTGAAAGTTATTTTTTTTCCACCCTGCTACATAACTAGTCCTGGCTTGTTAAACATAAATATATGCATCTCCTTATCCTTACAATGTACTGCATTTTTATAGGAACCCACACCTGATATAGTTCACTCTCCTAACCCAAAAGATTATAGTATCAATGCACTTCAGGATTTGTCTGTCTTTTTCAGTGCTTTCTTCCTCATGCTTGCATATAATAGAGCGGGGGTCATATTACCTACATAAATATAAAACGAAGGAGCAGGAGAGAGAAACATCCTTGGCAGAGATACAGGGTTTAGTCAGGAGGAGCAGCTCCTCGTTATTGGGAGCGGGAGCCCTCCAGAAGCCTGAATACATCAGGGCTTTCTTGGACTGCGTTGTTGGTCATGTGGGATTCAGTGCATTAACCACCATAACACCCCCTGGTCCAACAGTTATTATTTTATTTTTATTATTATTTTTAAAATTTGCTATAGGGCATATGTGCTCACTAGAGAGAAACAGAAAGAGAAAAAGAGAGAAAAAAAAGAGAGAGAACAAGAGTGAGTGAGAAAGCAACCACCAGGTCCGGGACTAGAACCATGGTTGGCCATGTACAAGTCCAGAACCTTAACCACTGCCCCACCTAACCCTCTTCTTTAAGATAAGCAAGGATTAGAGCTCTGTTTTGTAGCTCTAAAGGTGATGAGGTTGTGCAAGATAAGGACGTGTTTGCTTGGGTGCCCTGGGGCGTGCGTGCATACGTGTTTTGAGGAGAGTTGTCACTCATAACTGATGTGCTGTGGTATCCAGGCTCACGAGTGTGGGAACTGTGGGGAGGTCTGTCTAGTTTCACATGTCTTCTTCCATTTTACCTCTAACTTTTCCATCTTTCTCTTCAGGGAACATGGGGGAAGCAAAAACAACTGCTGAGCTACAGAAAACTATGATACAGGTAAGTAAAAGGCAATGATTCTGTAAAATAATATTCCTATTTCTCCAGGTCTCATTCTGATTGCTTTAGGGCAGAGGTTGGAAATCTGTTTCTGTATTGGACCACACAGTTAAGTACGAATATTTCAGGCTCAGAAGGCCTTAGCGTTTCCATTGCAAGTCAACGCTGCCATTTTAGCACAAAAGCAGCCATAAATGATACATACATATGTTTGACTGTGTTCTGATAAAACTTTATTTACACAGACAGGTGGCAGGCCAGATTCAGCCTGTGTGCCATGGGCACGTGGGGCCTGGCTTTTAGGTTGTGCCTGTGCAGGCTCCTGGGCCTCTTGTCTGTGAGGGATGGGGTAAGGGCAAAGTCCCCATTCCCTCACTGTTGTTTTGTTTTGTTTTGCCACAAGGCACATGCAATGCAGGAGAGAGACAGAGAGGGAAAGTGAGAAGTCACCCCCTAAGGGAGATGGCCAAGTGGTCCCTGCTCCTCCATTCTCCTTTCAGGATTTCATTTGGCTGTTCCTAACAGATTAATCAAACCCAAGGAAGAGGTCACGAGAGCCCCAGTTTATACTCAGTTGGTCAGAAACATAGTTGGCAATACTTGCAACTGGCCTCTGAAAGGGGGGGCAGTTTTATGGGACTGAAGCCTCAACGTGTGGGATCTGACACTGTCTTCAAGTAAATAGCATCAGAATTACAGGACAGCCAGCTGGCATCTGCTGGAGAGTTGCTTGGTGTGTGGGAAAACCCCCCCCCCCCCACATATCTGGTGTCAGAAGCATTCTGTGTTACATTAAGTGACTGTGTAACAGAGTAGGAAAAACATTCAGTTTTTCCTATTTAATTACCATCAAATTGCAGAGAGAAAAATGTGTCATGTTTTACAACTGTTAAAGCTACGAGGCGAGGTTAGGTCAGTCAGGAAATGTGTGGGTAGAAAGGGAAAGGGATCAGAACACTGAATCTTAGAGTGCATGCTGGGAGGACACAGCATCTTCCCAACTTGCTGTGGACTCTCAGTACCCCAGTGCTGTCAGCTTCACGCTTCCTTTTTTTTTTTTTTTTTTAAAGGAATTTTTTAATTTTTTTTTTTCATTATTT